GACATGCAAAGGGCCTCAAGTTCGCTCACTGTATCAATTGTGGCAGGGAGGTCACAGCGGAGCAGCAAGACTTTCTCTGCAAAATAGCTTGCAAAAGCCCCACAGCCAATGTCCAATTCCCTAGCGTTTTGCCTGCCCTGTGGCAGAGCTGTCAAAGACCGAATCGTACTAAATAATTGGGCCGGCCGTGAGCTAGCAGATGCAATCAAGGTCGCGTAGAAATCTCTCTCTGTGGCCTTGACTGCCATCTCATAGGATCTCATAAGCGTCCTACAGAATGTTCTTGATGCCTCGTTGCGAGCACGACGCCACCGTCTCTCTAGTCGTCTCAGTTCTCACTTCAGCGGACACAGCTCCTGTGTATAACGGCGCCCGCCTAGAACGAGTGCGGAGAGGACGCCTGGGAGTGATCTTGTCGATGGCTGAGGAGAGCCGGTCATGCCAGTCCTCCACCAGCTCATCCAACGAACCGCCAGGGGGGCTCGGATCCCGCACAGCCATCTGGAACCGCATAGGGTCCATTTGGCAGCGCGGGCGAGCAAAAATCTGCTCGCCGCCTAAACAGGGTCGGGGTGGAACATTCAGACGGGCCTTCAGAGCCTGGTGGTCCGACCATGGCACTGCCTCCGCAGTGATCTGGTCCACCATCACCCCAGCCGCGAAGATCAAATTGAGCGTGTGACCAGCCTGGTGCGTGGGGGCCGTAACAAGTTGAGAGTCCCAGTGCCGCCATGGACGACACTAGGTCCGTAGCCCGGCTGGAGGCCGTGTCCTCGGCATGGATGTTGAAATCACCCAAGATGATCAGCCGAGGGTGCTCCAACGCCCAGCCTGATACAGCCTCCAGCAGGGACGGCAAACTATTGGCCGGTGCGTTAGGCGGTCGGGTACACCAACCAAATTGCCAAACTCTCCTCAGCCTCCAGTTTCACGCCGACATGTCAATGTCAATGTATCACCTATATTTCTTACACACTCAGCTACTACTCTTTTAAAAATTGTTTTTAAAGATGTGATTTTTTAAAAGATACATGTGTCTATCATTCTTGAGATTTGTTCATACGGATCCCGCTGACAAAACCTAGCTGAAATGTGCGGATTGTTAAATTGAAGAAATTTATATTTCCAATGACACCAATTGTTCTTTTGCTTTTTCTTACTTTGAAAAAAAATAAACTAGCTGACTTTGTTTCCAGATTTTAAAAAAGAGGTACATAGGATGACTGTTTACATCTTGTCATCACACTTCATTAACTCTGGACAACCTATTATATTGTAACTAAGGTCTCTTGTAAAACAAATGAATGAAGACAAACATTTTTCGTGTAAATGTACCACAGCCATTGACAGGCCTCCATATTCTAATGTGTATTTATGGTGAGCACAATTCACTAGTGCAAAGGTGAAATGTCACATATAAATACAAATCCTAAACAGGTCAAACCTCAGTTGGGGATCTCAATACGAGAGACTTGCCTTTGATATATCTGAAGCTTCTTAATTACTATGAAGATTTAAAGATCACACTTACAGATGACTACTAGACACAATGGCCAATTTCCTGATGTTTCTTTCCTCCTCTT